CCCCCCCCCCCCCCCGGAAGACTGACTCAATGTTACAACTTCAACTAGCATTCAAAATGCTTTGAAATTCCATGGACCTTCACTGCATCATTGAGAAACTAGTGACATAAATTTACTCCTGGGTTCTCAAGGAATAGATGCCTTTGCTGGAACACTTGCATTTTCTTTGCAAAATCAAGCCGGTTAACCCTGAGCAAAACTGGATTATTGAAATGTGGTCTGGAAGGAGAACATATTTAAGGCCCAAGTGGATTAATTTTTCTTGCAGATAGTTAGACCCTAATTGAGAAATATTTGATTAATTTTATTATAATTATTATTAAATATTATACATGTAAATATTATAATTAGATGAACCAATGGATGTAGATGAAGATGAATCAACAGTGAAACCCAGAATGAAACCCAAACCAGTCAAAAATATTCCAATCAAGGCTGAGCAAAAAGAACCAACATGTTCATTATTGTTTAGTAATGTATCAGAGGTAATGATTGTCATTATTACAGTACCATTAGGCAGGGCTGTCAATCCCCCGAGATATTCAAACCTGGAGAATTGATAGGGAAGGGACATGACGTCACAGCGGAAAAAAGCATGGGAAAAGACATCATTTGCTTGTAACATTTGATGTGATTGGTTTATTTCTGACCAATCAGATTATCGCTTATATTACAATGGCCTGCTTGCAAGAACAGTTTATGAGGAATGTTTTGATTTTGTTAGTGATGCAATAAAATAATTGAAATTTTATTGTTGGAAAGTCAAGTCTCACAAGAAATGGTCAGCTTTGGAGATTATCTGGGAGATTTGAGACTCTAATCTGGAGACCGGGAGATATGGTCCAAAATCTGGAGACTCCCGGTTTATCCAGGAGAGTTGACAGCCCTGCATTAGGTGAAGTACTGTGCCATTGCTGCCTAGGCTTTCCTATTGAAGTATTTATTAAGAGTAAATGGTTTGAACCCAGGTGTTGAAGTTTGGTGTGAAATGTGATCGTCCAGGGGAGTGTAGTCTTGAGAAAAAGACTGTTGTTGGTGGTGACTGATGTTTCGACAACCTGAGTGGAAGTCATCTTCAGAGTGCAGTGAGAAAATGAGAGTAATGCAGAAGTGTTTATTATCATGATTATTATGCAGCTGGTTTTAATCCTCGTCAGGGGGCAACATTGCTGCCTTGTCTTTCTTATTGAAGTATATATTATTATGAATATTACGCAGCTAACAAATTAATAATAAACAATGGCAATAGGCCATTTCACGGATCCCGTTACTCAACCTCAGCCTCGTCAGCCTGTAATTATTCTTTACAATTTGACTACAGTCCGCAGTAATGAAAGGAATTTACACATCAACGAACAATTGAAACACTAAAAAATAGGTGGTAGTGAAATTTCTAAAGTATATATTACACGCTGATGAGGCTGAGGTTGAGCCGCAGGATCTGTAAAATGGTCTATTGAGCAAAATATATAACAATAAATCTAACCCAAGCTCTAAACCTAACCATTGCTAAATGAGCAATAATTTGTACTGAATGCTTCCTGCTGCTATTACTCATTATTTTGTCACCATCACCAGTTTGAATTATATTATTTATAACTATCATTTGTATTGATTGTGTTTATTAATTTTGATTCAGCTTGAAGAGGAAAAGATCCTTTTTCTACAGTTCCCAGATAAGTTGCCCATTAAACCTTTGAAAAAGGATGCTGGAAATGAAAATGACCAAGCAAAAGAAAAGGTACTGCATTACTGTACTCCATTTTATATATCCATTCACTAGCCACAAATAATAGTTCCAAGCCAAGGGACTTGGCCTAGAACTATTATTAATTTTGTGGTCACTGAATGGAACTCTAAAATGGAGTTTTAAACGTAACTATTGAATTAGGAATGCGAGAATAAAATATTATTTTTTCTTATTTTTAGCGCTGCATGGGGGGAAAAAATATTCTAATCCCCCCACTTCAAAAGTGCTCTTTTGTTCCTGTGAGTGGATAATGCAGTCTAGGTCTTACTARCATGGCAGCCAATAGGAAAATTTTTGCCTCCTTGCTTTGAAACTGATAATCTTCCTTGTGCAGTCTCCCCTCCACTTTTGAGAAAGGGATAACATGGGAAGATCAGGGACCTGAGACTAGAGAGGATAATTCAAGCACGAAAATAAGGAAAAGTTTTCCAGGCGGCAGGAACAAAGTTTCATAAAAAGAAAAGAATAGATCCCTTTGAAAGAAAACAGTTTTAGTGGCTTTGCCTAGCCTCCCACAGTAATCGGATTGACTGGGGCACTCTCTTTCATTGACTTTAGCTGTCTTCCACAGGAAGCCCAGAGGCATTTTCTGGTTCTTGAAGCCTATTAATGTGTTTATTCTTTCTCTTTTACTTGAAGACCAATACAGATAACTCAAATTTAACCTTGAAAGATGTATCAGAAGGATACATTGGAAAACTGCAAGTTCTGAAATCAGGGAGAACAAGGCTGGTGCTTGGTGACGTAAGCCTTGAAGTTGCTATGGGAACGTCCTGCTCTTTTCTGCAAGTAAGAGCTCTTATACGTATTATATTAATGGTCCTTTTATACGAGGATAGCATTTAATCAATAGCCGGTGGCTAACAAACGAGTGACTTTCTCGTACTATAATGGAACTGGAATTTAAAAGTTGATTTTTGCGGAGGGATGATAATGCAGGGGAACTGGGAGAAAAACCCTCGAAGCACAGGAGAGAACCAACAAGCATCTCTACTCACTTGTATCTGATATATGATATATGACATATCCGGGAATCGAACCCGAGTCGCATTGGCAGTGCACAACCTATATAGCGGTTTAGTAAAAATACACAGGTGATTATTGAAAATCTCGCGCGCTGATTGGTCGAGAAACTCACACTATCACACGATTATCTCCTCTGTCGTTGTTACCGGAAAAAATGTCTTCTTTTTTTTCCTTCTTTTATTTGAAAGAATCACTTGTGTATTTATACTAAAACAATTATTTGCCTCGACCTCAGTGAATATCGGAGATTATTTACCTCGCCGCTCTAAGACTCGCGTCTCGGTAAATATTCCCCGATATTCACTTCGCCTTCAGCGAATAATTATTAAATATAAACAGACACGCCATCCAGGCTACGTCATCGCCTGATGAAAACTAGCAGTTTTGGTAGTCGAAAAGTCGCGGTCCTCCTTCACATGACTTTCAATCGCTAAACAAATGAATAAGGTTCATTGAAAACTTGTACGTATGCTTCCTCGAAATTCTAGCTGTCATTGTAAAGCTTTAGATTGGCATTCGTACTCGAAAAACGTTGACTAGTACAAGAATTAACAGTGTGCCAAGCAGAAATATTTTTGCACAAATTTGCGTGAACTTTTGTAGGTTCTTATATATTTTTATTTGACTGATGGAGGCCAAAGGAAAAAAAACGAGGCGTATAGTGTTGATCAATTGGCGCCCACCTGACACTTGCTTTCCACGCAGTTCGTTTTGGCACAGTTTGCTCATCTCAATCATATTACGTCAACGTTTTTTTTCGAACTTGTTGTAGTGTTCGCATGGAATTATATTGCAACTAAAATGTTTATGTAAGTTATTTATTTGCGCAATACAACATTGGGACAAAAATAGTAATAGCAGGAATCATTTTTTAACCCTGTTTTTATCGACAATAAGATCTTTAAAAGTTTACTCCATCTTGAACCCTGCAAGCGTCTTTTTTTACTTCCTTGACGTCATCGTTATCTTTGATAACGGAAATGACGTAAAACATGTTTTGAGATAGATCGTGTACCAGTTCTTGTAAAAAAGCACAAAAAGAGGGGGCGAACAATCAGAATTCATGTTTTTAAATTCGGTAGGTACGCCTCAACGAGATTTTTTGGCTCGTTTCAAAAATAAACAAAAAACAAAATCTATTTTGAGAATTGATTGGCGCATTGTTAGCATAATATAGGCGATGTTTATCGACACTGCACCCAGATATCCTTATAATATACGTGCGACGCCAGACTGATGATGTAATGTAACGACAACTACAGCTAGAGCTCTCGGCTTACTGTGAAAGTTTTAAAGCTTCGTAACGTGACATCGGAGAGACCAAAACTTCAATAGGCCGCTTGCATAATGCCGTCATTTTACTACCACTACCAAAATGCTTCGCGAATTTTCTTTCTTATTCAAATTTGTATTTCCTCGTGGGAATAGCGTTAAAGCCGATTTAGACGGTACGATTTTCGGCTACAACTATCGTATACAACACGCTCGCACCATCCTACAACTCGAGTCGCAGCGTGTAAATCAAGCCTACAACTCGACTACGACAGACGCGAGCGTGCTGTATACGATAGTTGTAGGCGAAAATCGTACTGTCTAAACCGGCCTTTACAGTTAACTGACATTCGGCCGAAAAATCAGTAGTCAACTGACAATATTGGGGGTATCCTCATTGGCACCCTCTTTAACACCACCAAAATAGAGGGTTAACTGGAACAATCAATCGGGTTTTTTTTCACGATGTGCATGACAAGATTTTATTTCTCAAAGGAGAAAACTCTATAGTTATTTTGCCTCGTATTATAAYATGGCTGCATGCCATGAAACCCCTTTGTGCAACAAAGAAATGTCTCCCTTTTCGAGGGCCAGCCAATGATACCCCCATCCCGAAAATAGCCGCCGCCTGTTTCAAATTGTTTGACTGAAAGTCGATTACCTATTGTTCAAGGAATTTGGCCCAGTATTATTTTCGGTTTTCTTTTGTCTGATGGTATCAAATCCTAAACATAGGTTGTTTTATTTCAGGAACTCGTTTCTGTTCACACGGATGAAAATCGATCCGACATGACTGTACTGGGGCAAGTCAAGCACCGAATCATTTGCACACCAGATTTCGAAAAACTGTTGGTCGCTTAGAAAAATATATCAAATTATTTATACAAAATCCCTTGTCTACAATATGTATATCATTGCTATTTTGAAATTATTTAAAATCTTTAATTAGCAATGCTGTCCTATTATGCATTTTTGGGAGAGTTTTAAAGGAAGGTAGCGGGCACGAAGTAACGAGGTTTGGTCGTGTTTGTGCAGTCTCCATTATACAGCGAGGGCACTCTAACCATGAAAACTTTGTGCTTTTTTACTCCTTTTTTTAACATGCATCCCTTGAGTGAATCATTTAGAAATAAGCGGTCTTTTGATCACATAGCATATTTGAGTTCAATCCTACTTTTTTAGAGGGTTTGAAGCAGTAAAAACCTCAGAAAATAAAAATCTGAATAAAGTCTAGTGTTCATGGTTCGAGTGTCTTCACTGTAAGAGCCTTTTGGCACTGAGCACTTCCTCGTCTGATGTCAAAATGTGTAGCTTTATTGGCTAAACCTGTGACTTCCAAGTCGTTCATAGCAAACGTACTCGTCTAAATGCGACTCGACGTAAGAATAAACAAGAATCGAATAACTCAAAGTAATACATGGTAATACAGGCCGAACAAAACCATGCCGCTTGTCGCGCGACATTGTTGCCCGTATTACCAAACCAAGCTGCACGATTTTGTTGCATCTTTAGACTGCACAAAGCCTCTTTCCCCAAAAATAAACAGTGCAGTTAAGTAAAGTTGTATGCAGATGTTAATTGGCTCGCCTCTCCGCCTACCCCACCCATTTTAATGTCAAGATATGCAAGCCGCATAGCTGAGCTGTAATGTGATTGTTTACTTCAGAAATAGAATACGGAGATAATTGACTTATAAATAGCATCTGTGTATACGCTTCCAAGGTTAGAGCCGTCACGACTATGAATTCCTTAAAGCAAAATGTGCATGCAGCTTATTCTAAAATTGTAAGAAAGAAAGGCAATTGGCCATCAGTAAACTCCTGACTAAACCAAAGTTATATTCAGTGTACTTAACTTGTCTCGGTAGTAGTTTCTGCAAGGCTTTGAAGTTTAGCTTAAACTTTTAATTCATATTTTTAGCTTCCGAAGTTAGATAGCGGCTTGGGCGTAGCTTTGTCCCACCTTAACTATACCATTTGCAAGGGTTATTACACTGCCACTATATATATTTTACTTTAACGAGCGCAGCGCGCGTAATGGCTTCTAGAACGTGGACCATTTTGACTTCAGATTTTAGAAGTTGGTGACAGAATATCCAAAATACCAGACGGCTCCCCATTGAGCATTTAGGGCACCATCGACTACAGGTCAATGGGCGACTGTTTCTTAGTTTAAATTAAACTTCTGATCATACCAAACCTGAATTCGAATTTAACGCGCACTCCATTAGTTTCACAGTTTCGACACCAACAACTTAAACAATTTTAACTGAAAACTTTTCTCCCGCGGATCGGTGTTAAATTCCCTGCCCTGTCCCGGGGGTCTGGGTTTCAATTGACTAGGACATTAAGCTGTACCCATAAATTTCACGGGTTAATAATAATCTATTTGGTAACAAGGACGCATTGTCCGCTGGCGCTCCTTTTAGATTCCTCTCTCCAGGGGTTCTATTAGAGATTCTTTTCGTTGTTCTCAACTGCCTTGCATGCGGGTGTTACGTTTAGTAAGGATATTATAATAATAGTACCTATTAGGAAAGGTACGCTTTTGATTGGGAGAAGGGGAGTGGCCGGGGGATTCGCAGTAAGCTTTAAATGTTTGTAGCCCTCCCGCTTTCAATCAGTATGAAATTCATCTCTCCTTTTAGTCAACAAGGAAACACTCGTCAAAATGAAAAGGTTTGACCCTCCAAGATAGTGCATTATTTTACTGATAACTCTCCCCTCGATCTAAAGCCCCAGCCGTTCTGCTACTACATAACATACCTTCCCTTATGCATGCTCTCGATCCAAGGATGGTACACTGAAACCAAATCCACGATTGCTAAATATTTTGAAGTGCAGATAGTCTTTAATAATGCGAGGCTAAATTTCGTCGAAATTTTTACATGATTGGAGAACAAAATAAACATCATCATGCAACCAGTGCTTGGTTCAGCACGTCCCATTTTACATCGCGTGATTACTCCCTTAAATTTGTATTTTGATACGCTATGCTTATTATTTCAAGACTCTTGTATACGTTATTATGACTGTGGGATCAGTGGCTTCACCACTGACGACATTTCTAATTCTGTCTATACTAAGATTACCGGCTGCAAACTGATCACTTTCAAAACACTCGTACGCAACAAATTTAAAGCTATGTAACTGGACTGATTCTTCTTGCTGGAACGATGTTGCTGGCCCATTTGTCCACTAGCTGGCCCACAAAGTGTTAACGGCAATACGCATGTATCAAAAATTTTCTAAAGGCGAACAAGCGATGACTTCAGTGCCAAACTATTATGCAGAAGGTTTTTGACCTATTCATTTTTCCGGGGCCCTATTGCTACAAAACTTATATTCAATTAAGACTTTGTTAAGTCCTGCTTTTTAATATTGTCATTCCCTATATCAGTATCATTTCTTTCTTTAACCGTTGTGTATGAGACTCGGACACATGAATATGGATACAACTCAAACAAAAAATCGCGAGCTCAAGTGGTTTGAAATGTGAAAACATTACGCCCAAGGTTAGGTACGTTTACAAAAGCGGTAAAATAGATGGTGGCAAGGTGTTGGTGCATGCACAAGCAGATTTCCAGGCTTCCTTAGTAACATTTCTTAACCTCAAAGATTTTGCGACGTGTCCAAACCATTAAGAATGTGAAAAGTCAAGGCTTAACCGTTTCCAGTCTCAGACTTACTGCATGGAGTTGACCAAAGGGTGAAATACTGGCAAGTTCCAAACTTACATTCAACCAGCTTCATTAAAAAAAGCCGATGACGTGTTCCCTCTCGGCTTATTAGTAGACCCATTCTCCGGCAATGTCTCGAAAGTAGGTCACTTGACGGCTACAGCATTGCTTTTCAAGCATTTTGTGTTTTTAGTCAGTTCGGACGTGTCTATCGATCATTTTTGGGACCAAATTAAAAACAAGGCAATTGCAAGTACATCTGATATATTATATATATATTTGTGCACAAGCCTAATCAAACTCAGTGCCATGCATAACTACCAGTAGTACGTGCTGTGGTCCATCAAAACATCAGTGTCAACCCTCGACCTCTGCAAACTACGTGACGTTCACGAAGTGTATGTATACAAACACGTTAAAAGCCTCACTTGAGTAAGGTAAGTCGAAGCTTTCGTATCAGTTCCAATGCCTTTTTTTCTGCGTTTGTCGCATTTGATAGCGCACCTAAGTAGTCATGAGCACCTTATTAATTAGATCTTAATTAGCCACAAGTCTCAGCACACTAACCAAGTCCGATTCTTCATTTTGAATCTAAAATTGGAGCTGCATTCTGCCTATTTAGAGTAGACTGGTTTAGGCTTTTTATCGCGAATACACGATTCCATTGCTGGCATAACAAATGAATCTTAAGTGACTAAGAAAAAGTTGAAGGTTTCGAATGTCAACTACATGGTTAAAAAATGGACACTCTCTCTCATCTCATAACGTCAAAACCACGAGGGGCGATTTTTGTTTTCCCTGGAAAATTTATCTCGAATTACTGAATATTAGTATTTGTTAGACGGTGCAGAATAATAACATTGGGCTAGTGCAGTGTAACTAGGCGATCCTTGCCGGGCCAGTCAAGAGCGGACGTGCCGCTCGTGACATAATCATTTGGTATACACAAACATTAGTATGGGATTCCCGCTAAGGACCAAATAAACATATCGAACGTGACTTTGCATATATAAACACTAAGCAGGACTATTGGTGCAAAAGGCTAATCCGATCTTCTTCTTGAATTTAAAAGCAATCCAATTCTCTACTTAAAATGAAAGCTATGTATTTGATGGGAAATATTGAATGAATATGTTTTTCGTTGCATTAACTAGACCGACGGTGGTAATTGTTTTGGGAGCTGAAAAGCAACAGGAAAGTCGTTCATGTTTGTGATTATTATCTCGTAAACTCTAGATTACGCGTGACCTTTGGTTGCTTGACGTTACAGTCAATATGACCAGAGTATTTATTGCAGTACGGGACTCGGTCACTTATTTTGGTTCAGATCTAAAGAAGCGAACTCATGCCACGGCGCGTGTTCGATCTTCATCTATGCGTTATGCATCGGCAAACAAGTCCTAACTGAAGACCTATATAGCTACCATAGAATAAGAAAGACCCTCAGTAATGTTTACCGGGATAGCATCTATATGGTCGCGTAAGTAAAAAAATCATTGTTATAAATAAATGATAGATAACGCATGGGTATGTAATGATTGCATAGCTATTAGGTGCTGCCCATCCGATCTATGATTCAGAATATATAGCAGTGACTCTTAGAAGTATGGCTAACACTAAGCCTGAAGCGAGATGACGTTTTACCCCCGACTCTATACCATAATAGTTTTTAAAATTCTTTCATATTAAAATTTTTGATTCCTTAGAGAATACAGGAACAATAGTCATAATTAAAGAACAAAAGCAGTGTGAAAAAGATTATGGTCTAGAGACGGGGGTAAAACGTCATCTCGCTTCAGGCTTATTACGTTCAGTGTGCAAATGGCTCTTGTTTAGCAATCGCTTGTAGTTCTCATCTGGATCTGATTTTTTAACGATCAGTACATCGATCTTGGCTGTCCGACTAAAACAGTAGGAAATGAGATTACTGTTAGGGGTTGAGGATGACTCCAGAATTTCCAGGCAGGCGACCAAAAAATGTGCTTTCGCATCCGCTTCCTAGGGCCGGGCAATTCGGGGCATTCAGAGAATTAGAAATATAATTAGTTTTAATGATATGATATATCCATTTGATGTGTGCTTCACAGGCACTTAAAGTATGGTGGCAGTCGATCAAATTTTTTAGAATGTGTGGTCTTAAAATCATATAGCTAATAACCCTGCCCTGCAGGGGTCTTTTTTGCACTCCGCTTTGGCCGTATGTCGGAGAGGAATGTGGGGGTTTCCCCTCCAGTCTGCGATAGCCTTAAGGTGTAAATAATTATGTACCTCTACTCGTAGGGTACTTTGCTAGGTATTTCTCAATGGTAACCACAATTACCAGTGAGCACATCCTAGTTAAATTATAGTTTCACAGCCAGCAATAAATATGCATACCAGCAAAACAAATGAAAGTAAAGCTTGTCTGTATAAAATTTATAAGTATATAATAGTAAGAGAAAAACAGGTAATTTAATCCACCTGAAAACATTGTTTAAACATTGAAAATATGCTTCATTGTTGACAATAGTGTGGAAGGTCAGGCTTATCGTAAGCCGGAAGGCGCACCAGAAAAGAGATCAAACTCCCTGATGTCACCATCTTCATTCTCCTTCAGGTACAGGAAATTTGGTTTTGACGCATGGTCAAAAAGAAAGTTCGTTCATCTTTACRTGGAGATATCGTCGAAACCCGATTACAGCGCTTCCTATTCACACGAGCGAAACCGTAACATTTTAGTTCTCGCGACGAAGTTGGTTGTGATGTATGTGAACGTGAATGAAAGCGTTTCCACGAAACTATGCCTTTGATAATTYTGTTTTTACGGCAGTGCCATGAAACACTTTGACTGACGTCCACCAAAACCTTATTCATTTGCAAAGACAAATTTTACGATTTCGCGCGTAGCGATTGGAACTATTTCTATAATAAGGACAATTCATGCGCGCGCAGCTATTACGTACTATACCGGTACTTTTTGTCCCAGTGACCGGATTGCATTTACTTTTGAATTATCCCTCAAATACGGCGGACACTTTGGCAATGTTATCCCAAGTCCGAAAACTGTGATAACATTTCGAACATTTTCCTGCATGCGTGCAATGTACGCGGTCAAATAAAAAGCTTCCTTATAAACAAAACACTACAGTTTAGACTGCAGTCTGTAATGTTTACAAACATCAAACTATCTCAGTTACTTACAAGGCGGGGGGAAATTGCTCTTCTCCAGGAAAATAGTTTCCTGCATACAATTCAATGCAATGTACAAACAAAAAGCTTGCGTATCAACAAAACATTACAGTTTAGACTGGAGTCACTACAGTTTACGAACATCAAATTATCTCTGTTACAGGTAAGGCGAAAAGAACTGCATTACTCGTGGAACATTTATCTTTTTTCTACATTGAAAAAATATGAAATGATCAAGAAGTCGCGAACTTCGTAAGTGCGTTTTGCAGAACTACTGGCAGGCATGCTAAAGATAGGATACAAATTTAAGTTAGGATAGTGTCAACAAAAAACGAAAAGATAAACGAGACAAACTTACAAAGTTTAGTTTTGGCTCGTATGGCTTGCTCATGCAGCAAATAGGTACTCCGGTCCCCTTGCAAAACCGAAGAGTTGACTTAATGTTTAGGATAATAAAACCTCAGATGTTTTAGTGATAATGGGTTCGCGCTAACGTATCGCGTTGTTAAAACCATGCCCTCCCCTCTTATAATATTAGCACTGCTCTAGAATAGCATCAGGAACAAAAGTACTTGTGGGTTTTCCTGTCTTCAACCTATAAACTTTCAAACAAATGTGCTAGTAACTGCATAAAAAGGCTCTGTGATCACGTAGCTGCAGAAAAAAGTCATCGAGACTTAGATTAGCCGGACTAGATTAGTACCCACAGTTTGACCCTTGTGTTATCCCTGAGGCCGGTTTTTTATGTGTTGTCCAGTTTGCATCTTAAGTCGTGGACAGTTCATGTGTCACAGCCTCCATATTGCGACTGATATCCGAACTTTGCTGATTCTAGGCTCATGCAACCAACGTTTCTCAAATTAGACTGAAAATTATTTTTTTGTCGGCAGAGAACATAGTCAATCAAGGTCAGAGCTTGATCTCTCTTCCCCATATTTTCTAATAAGGTTTAATGCTCAGAATACTGACTTCTATGGGTAATAATTCTGGCACCATAACTGCCATTCGTTTTTCTTGATTAATATTGGTCATCTCTAAGTCTAAATAATGGCACATTTCTGAGATTATAGCATGGGATCCTTTTTCTTAATATCAGATTCTCACAGCCATTGCAAACCTTGTAGATATTATAAGGATACCTTTTCTCAGGGTGGCTTTTCCATACCACAGCGTACCAGCTGACATCTGAGCACTTTTCCTGATATATAGCTGCACTTCCCGTATCCTTACGTGGTATATACACTGTTATAGTAAGGTTTTACATGGTCGGCATTATTGCATAGTGGGACTGAGTTGCTTTTCTAAAAGAACTTGATACTGAAGGCAACGCTGAATTGCAGATTATAGAGTTATACACTCTATTGCTTCAAGAAATCGTTTCAAGTCGTTTCATTTATTGAAGAATGGAGCCAGAAATTTTCCAAGGCATTTCGATCAATGCAATGAATTGTATATAAACCAGCCTAAATGCAGCAACCTCTGCGAGTATGTGCGATTATTCAAGAATGACAACCGCCAACCGAGCTTTCGAACACTAATATTTCTAATATACCTGCATTCTTCTTGGACCCAGGCTATTTTCTGGTTCTTCGATGCGTTGTGACACACCATGTGATCTAGCTTGTGATAGTTAGTCGAGCAATATCACCGCAAGTGTTATTTTGTAAAAACATTTGACAGGTAGAATTCCCAGTGTGTAACGGCTTGTAGATCCAAATCTACGAAAGCTACAAACGCACAGGTGGCAGGAACAGGTCTCAAAAGTTTATAGTTGTTGTCATGGCGACTACATGAATTCAAAACACCGCCATGGGATAACAYCTGGCAAATGCAAGACACTGAAATTATGAGCCGTAAGATTAAGGTTTTTCTTTAAAGTCGTGAATTGCTTAACTATATATATAACATTTTCTCTTGTGTGCGTGTGAAATCTGAATATCCTTGTTGATCAATCCAGGCGATTGATTGTCATTTTTCACGCGATGGAATTTTCCAAGCACCAGCCTTAATGCTTTAAAAGTCTTAAGTTACTCTCATTTCCTTTTTGTCTTAACGATCCCATCACGTATGCACTAGTCAATGGAGTATTTTTTCATTCGTCAGTGGATACTAAGAGGGGGTGGGGGGAGGGACCAAGTAGGGGCTGTAGCAACTCAATAGCCACGTGACACTCCTGGTTATAGAAAAGCTGTGGTTGAAATAAACAAAAGAGACGGACTCCGTGCCGTGTAGATCTACACGAATTCATGGATTGGCTCTTATAGTTTGTGATCCATGTAGAGAGGCCACTTATAGTTGCGTGTGCGGATGGCATTAGTCTCCTAAACTTTTATGACCCTAGTGATCCTATTTTAACTCATTGGCAAGAATTGAATGCTCGGACTGTACTCCTCTTAAGAATTTGAATGCTCAGGGGAGCATTTTATTCTTATTTTCATATCCGGAAGTAGTTTTGATGGCTCATAGACGTACCGTATACTATATGCAACAATTTTGATGTATGCAATAAAACCACAAAAAGGAACTTATGTGACCGACCGGTTACTTTTCTTTCAAGTTGTTCCAAGACTAACGTATATATGAATCATGTGTGTATAAATAAACCAGGGTATAACCGCGGATAGGCTTATGTTTCAAGCAGTGATATACGTATAGCATTCCTTCTTCCTTATTGTTCAGTATTGAGACTGGCTGGTTATGAGCAGCGAACTTTATCGTTGTCGCTAAGTGGTTGCGGGTTTCATCCTTGGCCTTGCAATGTGAGTAACTTTCCTTTGTCTGTTTTCAAGAGCGTTTCACCGCTGTATTACCCAGTTTTTTCAATAATCCCTCCTGTGCACTACATACAGTTGCAACGAAATTGTTTTTCATGCCTTAGCCCAGCTCTGGTTTGAAACTAAGCCGGCTGTACCATGAGACGTATAATACATTAATTCTGTTTGGGCATACAAATTACTAAGGGAGTGGTACGGGAAGTTGACAGTGTAGCATGCTATGGTTTTCCGGTGCAAACAGCTACAACTTGTTCTGTGTGTTCATGATTTTGTACCCAAAACATTCTTGATTCTTTTTTTTAAAGGTTACCCTCCTCCATAACCAACGCATTTTATTTACGATGTAAAGATTTTCATATGATGCATTTACCACGGCTCTACCACTAAAACGTATTTTAATGAGTGCCTCAATGAATGCCTCTTTTATGAAGCACGGCGCGGTCTATTTCAGTCTAGTCTGCATTTGGGTTATATAAGCCTGTCAGACTATATGAAAAAGCCTTTTGCATGTAATCGCATTTATCAATGTTGTTTGTTATGGTGACTAACTTGTCATCGAAACAAGATAACCGCAGACATCATTGTATTGTGTTGCGGAATATTTGCCAAAATACATATGGCTTCCTTAATACTCATTCGTGGCTTCTTAGATAGTTTATCTACCTGTAGACCCGTGCATACACTTCTTGGTTAACCAACGATATTTCCGATCAAGGTCACTGGTCAAAATGTTCTAAAAAACTGATCCCGAAAAAATTCCCTTCCCCTATGAATCAGTTCAGTTAACAGAATCGCGATCGCCAAAGGTCATTTACGCTTTCTTTTGGAATATTGCAACGCTTGGTTGTCCGCCAACTGGTTTGGATTTTATCATCGTATCGATATTCTAGCAGAGAATATTAAAATCCATTTGAGTGTTAAGGATTTTTGTTATCGCATGGCCAGTCCCTGTATAGGGGTGTTTCGGGATCACGGTTAAATAACTATAGACCAGGTTAATAGGTTTGAACCCGCTCTTTGCTCTAACGAACCGACGAAAACATGAAAAATGCACTGAAGTGCGGCGACCGACAAATTGTTTTTGAATTCAAGCTTTTAGATTTTATATTCTTGAAGTCATGGCTTTGGAATGAGAAAAATTTACCAATGTTATAACAATTAATTAAATTTATTAGAAAGCAAGGAGGAAGAGAACAATTACTGCTTTGTTGCTGATCACAGATTTATTTTATGGAAATAGCTTGTGTTTGTTCTGTGATAACCAAACTATACCACATCAAACCTTTGGATTTTAATCCATAAATTCACAAGCGACATTGGAGATCAATTTGTCCATACTTCGTAGTTACTAACTATATTTTTTCACATTTCTTTACGGTCAATTTCTCAATCGATTCGCGGCGTCGATTATATTAAGCGATAACTCGATTAGGTTAATAGTTTTGAGGACAGGAAGTTTGTACTTACACTAAATTAGTGTTGTATTTACAAGTGTATTAGCATTGAGATCCTTATTCTATGCTATTTTTATTATTATTATGGTCGGGAAATGTTAAGCAAAATCCCAGAAAAATAGTACTTTTTACTTGGTAAATCGTATGAGTTTGTCTTTCATTTTTCAATGTTTTATCATAGTTAAACTTCATGGTATAAGGCATATTGATTGTTTCATTCGACTCTATCAGAGTATAATGTCTAGAGTGATAATGAGTTTGTCTAAGATTAATCTATTTGATAATAAACGGCGTTGGGTTAATGATTACTACATATCTTTCACTCATAACTCATAATTATTACAGATTTTTTGCTCATAACTAGCTTGCACTACTTCACTCTCTTCRCGTCCATTTTGTAAGTCGTTTTGCGTTTGAAGGGTCACTCATATACTGAAGCGAATAAACAAAGCACAATTTTAACCCTAAAGAACACTTTGGTGGGTTGGCATAAGACTAGCAAGTAAACCAAATAAAAAGCATGATTGCGAGGACGATTTCCTACTACATGGAAGATTTCCATAGTGATGATCTAGGATACGAGGGCGCGATTTCCAGTAGAGCGTGATTAAAGTAAAGTGAAAGTATTTCTCGGATCAGGGCTGCCAGTAAAATCCCAGTTGCCCACACGTGTCAGTGACCCGTGTTGTAGTTACGGCTGCTTGAAATCCTGGATGGAGCCAGTGCCATTCTAAAACACAGCTATTGAAATAGCCTGCCCGCTCAAGGCGTATACGAGCCTTGATTAAGAGATTTTTTAAGAAATAAAGGAACTCCATAATCCGAAAAGAGCGTAAACATTGTTGCAATTTTTGAAAGTCTGGAACTTGGGTCGCCAGTGAACCAGAAAATATCATTAATGTGTCGGTTTTGGAAGGGCATCGAGCGTGAACGACTAGAAGTAGCGCAAGGCCAATCATTATACCGCGTAAACCACCGCTTACATCAAGATCTCTCTAATTTGTTCCCTAACACTGTGGTTTATTTCTACACCTTAATTAAAGTCGATTAAGAGGTTTAACAGTCCGTCATAAAAACAATTTTAACAACGCCGACTCGCGATTGGTCCATTGTAAGTTCAAATTAATTGATACTTCACGCTAAACAGGGCGTGGCTTACGTCATTATTCACAGAGAACTGGATATGATACGACCGTAGACCGAGCTATACACTCGAGTTGCTCGCCACGGTCTAGCTTGTCAGAAAATTATGAGAATGGCAACGGACCCAGAAAGTTGTGACGAGGAAACTGATATTAATGAAAATGATGTCTTCGATGAAAGAGATCCAGCTTTTATTGACGAGCGGTTCCGCGTGGATCGGCGTAAATTAGAGCAAATGCTACAGGGTATAGCCCCTTGAATATATATTTTATGAAATTCGAAGTATACTGATCAGAGGTATATTATTATGTGCGTTTAGAGACATGCAGTGACTAATATTCTCGTATTTCTTTCAGCTGCAGAAGAAGGAATTGGAGAAACGGGGGAGGAATTCTTTCGAAAGGTAAGTATATCAGGTCAAATTAACCCGCATTTTGTTAGCCATAATTGAATCGTACCGCTTGTATATATAAACTTCAAATCTTTGTATGCTTTACGATCATAGATCATGGGTGAAACAGCAACTACTATTACATGGCCTTCAAAGCTGAAAATTGGGGCAAAGTCCAAGAAAGGTTTGTGTTCGATGCATCCACTGTGCAAAGTTCTCTTTAATGCATTTTGCCCTTGAAAAACCTTGCGTTATATGCTATGCCCTTCGTTGAGTTACCAAAATCTTTGCGGGTCATTTAATCCAAAATCTTGGTGTAGATCACTGATTTGGCTACACGAATCGGTAATCGTGCTAGCATAATTCATTTTTCTTCATTTACCACTGCTATTAAATTATCTTATTATATCAATAACTCGGATTATTCTATATTATACGATATATACATAAACAAATGCGGAATATCTCGTCCTCCTCGGTTTAGAAAGCTTGATTATTTCTGTCGTGGTTTACTCTTATATCAACTATACTAGAAACTACCTTTTGTGTTGTCAAAATAATTCCTTTTATTCGCTAAATTTCTTTTGTCATAAGCTTTTCATTGGAATCTAGTGCGCGAACTGTTCTAAGGATAGAACTCAGTGGTTCGTCTCGTTTCTTAGCGTATCGATATTGTGTACGGGTCTTGGTTACCGTTCGTTGCTAAAATAGTGCCTTCTCTTATGAAGTCAATGTATAGGACTCTAATATATTTCGAAGCAATTTCTTTTTATGTTCTTTATTCTTTATGGCGTCATACGATAATTTCTTTAGAAATCAAGGTGCATAAATAGAATGAGTGCAAATTATTTGTCACGACCTGTTACTGGAGAATAGTCCTATATAATTGTATTGTAACTTCATCCACGAACTTGTCAATTCGGTTTGGTATATTTCCAGTATTGTTTCACCCCAAGGCCAAGTATATTTCACAAAATCCTTAACTATCAAGGAATTCACCATTTCATTGCAGAACAATACTTCTCAAGTCCGAATGTAAAGTATTTTTTCTAGTGTCAAAGGCGATGAATAGTCTTTTAAAATTATTTTAGCCAGTAGAAACTGAAATCTATATTTACGAACAATGGCTATGTTTATGTATGAGCGAGGGTAGAGAAATGTTATCTCACAATTGGGGCTGAATTCGGAGCTTATATTTACAACCCCATTTATATTTTCTATAAGAGACCTTTTCAGACGTTTGGTTAGGGTTTTCGAAAAGAAGATTTATTAGTTTCACGGTAGGAAATTAGCGTGTCTCCTTTCAACAACGCAAAACTATTCATGCATGCGCGCATTTTTCTGGACAATCGGAGCGAGACGTTTCGACCCTGTTGCAAGGGTCACGCATTGTTCACTCGCCATTTCGAACCAAGATGTCGCTTGAATGCCTTATCGATTTCTACATTTCTTGGGTCCTTTGTAATGTTACTTTGAATTCGAAATATTAAGAGAAGACTATTCAACTTTCGAAGATGATAAACTTCGAATATTACCATGGAGGAATTAGAGAATTTTTTTGCATCTTTCGTGATTGTCTTTACCGGATGCCAGTGTAGGACCGTGTGCTTAAATTTAGTCTGTTAGCGGAAGACATTATTATATTTGAAATCTACTCCTGTTTTAGTAATATCAGTATTGTTTCTAGACAATCAGTTTCGTTATTTTTGTTTGCGAGGTTGTAAGACAAGACGACGGTCACGCTTGTGTAATCAATTTCGTGATCAACAAACAACAGAAACTTGCAAGAATAAAATGTTATCCTACGACATTTTTTTGTTTTTTGCTTATTTGCTACGCACTTAAATATGSTAAAGCGTTTAGTTTTTATCATACAGGACCCCCCTGAAAATCACGTAGGTGATGGAGACTTGCTCTTAAAAGATTCGTTATCATTATCATTGTTATTATTTATTTATTTATTATTCAGACGTTTAACTTGGAAGAACATAAACTTTAGGGAACAAACTTTAAATCTATTTAAGGAAAAAACATGTTTTCCTTCACAATTTCCTTTTTTCATTCCATAAAGATATTTTTCCTTTCTGTAAAACAACTACTTTAATTATGATTTATAGTTATTTTAATCTACTAAAATCTTTTCATTTCATAATTTGCCAAGGTAGAAAATGTTTCTAAACCATTTATGCATCAGGGCCCAGTTGATGAAGGTTAGATGACACTATCCAACAGATAAATCCTTATCCAGTGGATAAGTTGATGCTGTTATCCAATAAATTTATCAACTGGATATGATTTATCTGTCGGATAGTGCTATCCACCCTTTATACAACCGGTTTATAGTTTTTCTCAGTATTCTCTCATATTTCTTCCTTTTGAAACAAATAAACCTGCACTTAAACTTAAGTTTAAGTGCAGGTTTAATCAAAATGTTTAATTGACTAAGTACGATAGTTATTGCTCATCAACCGCAACTAATAATATGCATGTTAGGATTAATTTGCCTTAATGAAAGAAAATGTAATGTAGATGCTGTATGATTAAAAGTTTGTTAAAATTCATTAAGGCTTATGTCGCAAAACATCATGTTCTACCATATATTAGTTAAAATCTTGATTAAAGCTAATCACATGATATAATATGTCCTGGATGTATACTGAGTTAAAAAAACTGAGTTTAGTGCTAGTCACCACCTCAAGTACAGCAGTGCTACATATCAACAGGTTAGAAGTGAAAGTGATGACAAGGTACTTTTGACAGCCTATATACAGTACATGAATGACCCCAGAGCAAAGCTTTAACCAGTTTGAATTTTGGGAAGGTTTGAGGGGAGTGAGGATAAAAATGATAATTAGAAAACTCTTGGAGTTGAAAAGAGAACCAATAGACTCAGTTCCATCAAATGAAGTGACTGGAAATTGAATTCAGGATAGCAAAGATGAGGCAACTCAGAGTTTTACCAGCACACCATCACCAAGACCTAATGCAACACTTACACGTCTTTGTTGATCAACAATATTGTTAATGCACAAACATGCACATATTTATACATGTTGAATAAAGTCCTAACATCTTTGGCCAGACCTTAATTATTATTTTTTGGTTTTAGTCATTGTGTTTGAGTTTAACATGCCTACACTGTATATTTGTATCCTCAGGCCAGTGTCTAGCTATAATTCATGTTTGAAATATCACTTATCAGCATTTAGTAAATCTGCTTAGATAAATGACAAGATGAAATGCTTTGTATATACCTGTGCATTCATGTTTAGTCTCCCACTTATGTAAGCAGGGCATGGTCATTAATTTTTAAGTCACTATTAAGGTTTAAAGCTTCTGTGTAGGAAATAAAATATATTCAATTAGAAATATGAATAACATCCTATATTATTGAAAACAGTGTATCAATTATGCCTCAAGAATACTTTTTTCTACCAGTGTTGGAAAGAAAGACATTGAAAAAGTACAAMATTTCTTCATCTTTGTTATTCTTGTTACTGAAGCAAATATACTTTATTTTATAATATATATATTTTAATCAATGGGAGTAAACTAAATTCCTTTGCATTGCTTTTACTCACTTTCTAGATTATTATTGTCACAAAGTTAAATAATATATATTGCCTTTTACGTATGATTAGAAATGATTTTATGAAAGTATTGCAAATTGATGTCATTGGCAGCATCGAACCCTTTGATTAAATTTTTTTATTCAGAATAGTTAAAATTGACTTAAGTTATAATATTAACTTTATGCAAATGCAGACATTTCAGCAGTAATAATTTACCAAAGATATAGATAGACCCCTTTTAGCTTGGGCATAGTGTTTTCCCATTTTAGTTGATAGTTAAAATTGACTTAAGTTATATATTAACTGCATAAGAATGCAGACTTTTAAGCAGTAATAATTTACCAAAGATATAGATAGACCCCTTTTAGCTTGGGCATAGTGTTTTCCCATTTTAGACCACATGTCATTTTCTTGAGAACAAGATTCTTTGTTTGAGTTGTATCAATATTCATGTGTCTTCTCATGCACAGGCATTAAGCAAAGAATTGAATCTCAATTACTACTCCCAAGCTAAAGAAGTCTATTATATTTAGTTTCCTTAATATAATCATCGGTTTACAAATTAGTATGTCTTATTATTTTTAGACCCCCACATAAAGATAACTGGTCTTCCAGAATCAGTAAAATTGGCAAAGGATAGAGTGATGGCAGTTTTAGACACCAAGGTAGGAGTCACACATACAGCTAATCTGATTACAAGTTAGTAATTGATAAAAATGTCCCAAAATGCAGGAAATTTAATTGTGGTTGATTATCTTCAGTCCAACAGGGTTACTCTTAAAATGGATGTTTCTCATACAGATCATTCTCACATCATTGGTAAAGGTGGTTACAACATTAAAAAAGGTATGTCACATCTCTACATTCTCTGTAAGAATATATATTTTGATATATCTATTAATATTTATTTCATTTGTTTTTTAATTAATTATAAACAGTAATGCAAGACACTGGGTGCCATATTCATTTTCCTGACTCCAACAGAGGGTCATCTACTGACAAGAGTAATCAGGTACTTTTAGGGATTTCATTTTTATTTTTAAGTACTTTTTGAAAAGTCATAGTTTTATGCTCTCTTAGGTTTCTATAGCAGGACAACCACTAGGAGTTGAAGCGGCAAGACAGCAAATAAGGGTATGCTTTTTTCTTGTGTGTCAAATAATTTTTTTCATTATTTTATTGCTACTGCATTAATAAAAATCAAATAAATCTGAAAGATGTCATTTGAGTTGTTAATGTAAGCTACTCTCAGTCTGGCTTTATCAACTGGATTATGCCAGGAACCAAACAATAAGCAAGAAAAATGTCCAACCAAGTCACAATGTTTGAATATGTTAAACCTTTTTGTAGAGTTAAAGATATTGACAGTGTACACAGTAGTCTTTGTTTCTCATTCAAGACACATAAGGATATTTATTTAGAGCTGTGGATGATACCAAGTAATTAAGGCCTTTTGCAACAAACTGTCAAGTGCTGATATGTGACTTTCATAATGAATCAATTCAGCTCAAGGTCCCTTGGGGAAGACTCTGTTGGATGGCAAAAAAAATTTAAATGGCTTCATATCTTGAAATCGAAAGTATCTCATAAGGGGTAAAAAGTATTTTTGAAAAGGTTTTGGATACGACATTAGTAATCCAGCAAAAAATCTTTAAATAAAGGAAGTCCAAATTTCTTTGCCATTCATTAACAATCACATGTCAATCTATTGCATAAGGCCTTTTAAAACTGTCAATTAAGAGATGTTCCTGTATTAGAAAAAAATTAAAGGATGTTCTTTAGTGCAGACCTATTGCTAAAAAAAATTGGTTACATGAATTTTTTCATTTATTTCTAGGACATGTTGCCATTAGTTTTGTCATTTGAGCTGCCGCTTGGAAGTAGAGGCCCAATAGATAACAATTCAGGAATTATCCAACATATCTCACAGACATGTAATGTTAATATTACGTTCAAACATGTGAGTATTTTTGTGACATCCATTAAATGTGACTAATTGTGCATGTCTTTATATTATTGGCACTTAAATTTTATTTAAACTATTTTACAATTTAACAATTACTAAATGCATATAATCAAAGTGCTGAGAAATTTGAGTAACTAAAGATATTTAGGACTGAAACTTTATCTTTTATTATGAAAAGAAATAATTTACATAAACATGATTAAACTATGTATTATGAATATCTTTTAAAAATGAATTATAAAATTAATATTAGCCCTAATAATAGCAATTAATTGTGAGTGATAATGATTTTTTTATTTATATGATCTATCTTATCTGTATCAAAAGCTTGAATAAATAAGCACWGTTATGTTATCAAAAATTTATAAATTTATTTACAAGGCTTAATTTTAATTCTGTGCAGAGACCTCGAAGTGGAAATCAAACAGTCATTTTAAGAGGAAGTCAACAATCTATACCTGGCATCAAGGTACATTTAAGATTAAATAAACATATTGAAATACTACTCTGTATTTAAGGTAGACTAAGATCTTGAAATGTAAGCTGCTTTTAAAACAACTCAAGTATACAGAAGTTATGACATAAGTGAACATAAGTGAAAAATATATACATACTAGACTGGCCAGTACATGTGAAAATGCATGACTTATCAAAGAAAGAAACATCTAGTAGTTCATAAAATTTTTTACATTTCTTGCCTTAGGAACAGTGACACTCCTAATGCATTGGCAACCCAACAGTCATGCAATCACCGAGCAACAAACATGACTTACACATGCAATTTTTCTCAAAATTCCCAAAGTGAATCTTTTCACTTTTTGTGCACATCCCTGCTAGCAATGTATAAAAATGGCATGGACTGGCTGACTACACTTTCTCTTACTCTATCTATATATGATTGCATGTAAACAATCACAAGAACTATAAGATATCAGCAACTAAAGGGAGGGTGATTTTTGGGTGACCAGAGAATTTATGGGGGGTAAAAACAAAATCTGGTTTTGTTTTTGCCTCCACCAGCTTTGCTCCTCACCCTCTGATCACCAAAAAAAAAATTCCTCCAGAGACCAGGATAAGGAGTGGGTATGGTCTTTCAGATTGGCACAAGGAGGGGTTACTGGGAGAGATCAGATTACTAGGGAAAGGAAAAGACAAACACATGATAGTCTGGTGGAAATGCCAGGATATATTTTTTGGTGGAAATCACTCATGGGCAACTTTCTGGTGGCTTTTAAGTCATGTCTCCCATATTTGCAAAAAATAAGGACTGCTGTAAAATTTTTACATTAAATATAACTAAGTTATATTTAATGTAAACATTTTACAGCAAGTCTTGGTAAAATTCAATTTAGTTCATGTTACGGGTTATTTTTAGTTTTCTGGTGAACATAATAAAGCTTTAACTATTCGTAAATTTATAAGACTAGCTATTGATGAATTAAGCTTAATATGGTATGTTAGTAATAAGCTTAATATATAGCAGTAAGCTTATCTCCCTGCTAATTTCAATTTTTAAAATTTTTTTTCAAGGATGCTGTCTCCAGACTAGTGGAATATTTTACAGGAAACATAGTGGTAAGGATATATAAAAAAAGGTGTTTTTTAGATGAAAAATTATTTGAGCTTTGAAGCCCGAAGATCGATAATTTAAGAAGTGGATTCGAATAGCTTTTTTCTAAAGTTCTCTAAACTAAAAATGATGACTTACGGTTCGTAGAGGTAGAGGGTCTTTTCTTTGATTATCACTCTCTCTGTAGGTACAGTTTTTGGCTTGAAAAAGCCTTAAATTGTAGTATTTTTTAATAATATTTCTTCTTTCTGTTTGATGTCTTAAAATTGGTAGTCGTTTCTTGATAGTTGGATGCGCACGCGCGTTCGTCATTAAAAGAAATGGCGGGAAAATATAACGATGATTGTGATTGGTTGAATGATTACGTTCGCCTGAATAATCACAGCAAAGTGGCGCGAAACCGTCTTTCCTTTTTTCTGGCTATTCTTCATTTCTCCTTTTTTCTTTATTCTATTTCCCTACTCCTATATGCCTTATCCTCACCTTCTACTATAATGGCATAAGTCATAGCAATAAATATAATGAAAATATTTCTCTCTTCAAAGGGCTTGTAGTCTCTGATAAATACTATTGTCATAATTTAAATTACCGTCAATTTGAATTAAACTGGTGTTAAAAATCCTTTGTTTTTCTAGTCAACAGTTCCCGTTAACATGCAAATTGACATTGCACCTCAACATCACCTCTTCATCATTGGCAGAAACGGCAGTAATATCAAACATATTACTACGCAAACAGGAGCTCAGTAAGTCTTGTAATACCTCATGAAACCTTGTCAAAATTTCAATTATATTTTTCCGTATTTGATACTGATTTTCTTTCATTCTATCATCTATAGCCTTAGTTTTCCAGACCCAAACAGCTCACATCGAAAAGGAGCCGTTTTCCTAAGTGGAACCGTCGATTCAGTCATTTGTGCGAGAACATTACTTTTGGTAAGACTACTGTACTCATATCAGGACTCCCCCCCTAATGCGCCCTTCCCCCTTTATCAGAGTATTTGAGATATGTAACTCGTGTACAATACTGTAGTCCTTACGTTCTAAGAGGCTCATTATAGGGTAGTGGGCAGTGAAAAGCATTGATGCATCAATGACGATTTCTGCAAGGGTATGGCTGTTACCTAGAAAGCCGCTAGTGCATTGACTGACTGGCTACCTCCTCTCTACCTTTCTTGATTCCCTCCCCCCTCAATGAAAGGAAACGAAGGGTTAGACTCAAAGACAGGTATAAATATCTAATAAATCTTCTTCAAATAAATACCGGGAACCGGGAATTCAAAACAAATGGATTTGTTCCCTTAGCTATGAAAGCCACAAAAACTTTAATAACAAAGGCTTAAACGTGAACGTTTGGAAACTTTATTTTCTGATTAACAGGAATGTCTACCTCTGGTCCTTATGTTTGATCTAAGAGAGGAAGATGGTGATGTAGATTCGGGTAAGTATACGTAAGCGGTGAATCCGGCCGGGTAAAGCAATTATAAACTCATTTGTGAAACATCACATCGCGGCACGTTCACGGACACGCAGTAAACCTCTTCATAGTCTTGCGTCATTGTGACTGATTCGCTCAGGTTAGAAATGCGCCAAGCGCGCCTATGACTCATCAAAAGTCAGTGGAGGTCTCCAAGACTCGCATGGCGGTTGACCTGAAGAGTGAAGCAATAGGCACCGAATACTGACCTGTTAATTTTAGAAAGTCTATGCCAAGGTCCAATTCAAGACGTTCATTTGCTAAAGTCCAATTGTCACCCCACTAATTTTTCAGTAATAAGGTGTGTTAAAACCAGGATTTTGTCCTTAATGACCTTGACCTTGAACGACATAAGAAGGCGTGGTGACATTATGAAAAACGTGAGACTGCATGAATGTTTCTTTCATAAAAGGTTATCGGCAGGTAACAGCCTGCGATAACATTGCGTTCCAGCAACAATAATTCACCTTTATTAACTGTTTTGTATACACCCCCTCTTTAAAGTAATCATCTTTTTTTACTAACAGCGAAACTAACCAGGATCATGGACGACTATAACGTCTTTGTCAGCGTAAAGCCAAAGCCCAAACAACCAAGCAAGGTGAGACAGAGCGTTTTCTGCTTCATGTTTATGCATCTTTCAATAACTCTTTCACACATCCGGACCCACAAAGGTCCCATCATGTGTAGGCTTTCAGAAGGTTTTGTACATTCCCCGTTTTGCCTCCCTCATCTCTCTTGCAGTTCAAAAGAGTTCATTCTTTATCTTGTGTGATATGCATGGCTGTTTCTCATTTKGACGCCACGTCATTTTTATCGGCCAAAAAGTATCCACTTTCATTTTGTTTATCTCTGACTGCGTCTTCTATATTTTGCATAGTCTGTCATAATCAAGAGTGCTGAACGAAACGCCAAAAACATCTACCTGGCTAGAATGGAGATCCTCGGGGTTGATAAAAACCAGAACCGAGCTTCATCACCAATCTACTCCTCCATCATATCCCCTTCAAGTGACAGGTCTTTTTACAGTGGAACAACGGAGTATAGTTCCTCTCCTCCCAGTCCCACGTATTCTTACCCTTACAACGGACTCGTCAGTGCTATTGGCCAAGTTTCTTCTTCTTCTTCCTCTTCTTGGTTCTCGTCTTCAGACTCCTCAAAAGGGATCAGCACCATGGTTGGAGGAGGGGTTACATCTCCACCATTCTCGTTTAAACCGACAACCCCGCCTCCACCTCCACCTCCAGGACTTGGGCCACCTAATTCAATGGGTAGTCCTGTTGTAAGCACAGCATCGGCTAATATTAGGGATTTTTCTGTGTCTCCAACTGGAAGCTATACTAGTATAGAATCTAGTAATGGTGAGTCTTTATTTTGTGGTTATTATGTTATTATTTGAACATCACGCATTTCTCTGTGTCTGCCTGTTCTCTGCTTGTCTGTCTGTCTGTCTCTCACTGTCTCTGTCTCTCTCTCAATCTTTAAGCTAAAATACGAGTAGTTTTTGGCCATGAGGTGGGGGCTTGGCTTAACATGTGAATACGATTACTCTTCCAACAAAATCCCTACTTTTTTTTCCAATAGACTCTTTATTCACACACAACCATTTTTACATATAACATATAAAATATTTACAAATATAGTTATTAACATGCACATAGCAACTACCTTAACATTTTTAGAATACCATCATAAAATATTAAAGTCCCTACTTATCCTAAGACAGTTAAACAAAAATTCCAATTAATTTTTCTGCGCGGCGATATGTGTCATGGCACAAAACGTTTTACAGTGTCCGCCAAATCTTTGAATTCTCACTCGTAAGGCACATCTACTATACTGATAAGGGCCACTCGGAACTAAGTTATGTTCGTTGCAAAGAAACAGTAGAATCTTTTTTTTAATTTTCTTTGGGAAAATCTATTGTCATGCAAAAACGTGTTTCTGACCTCAAACATGGCTGCCATAAAACCCCGTGTGAGCCACTGTTTCCCAAAATAAATTATCATTTTATATTATTTTTAGGGAGTTCCTCAGCCCCTTCAGGCAAACCTCCAAGTCCAATAGGGCATCGGACATCCAGTCCTCCAGGCTTCCGATCTCCAAGCCCTATCGGTCCCCCAGGGTTCAACTCAAGAAGTCCAGTAATGGACCAGAGAGATAGTCCCATTCTAGGCGGATCCGGTAGTGTAAGTCCACGAAGTCCCACAGCGGGAAGTCCTTCACTGCAAGAGGAAGGTACGTGAATCACATAGAGCAGTTTTCGTATGCGTGCCTTACCGCGACCGTGATGTTTTCTAGAATTTTGATTGGGAGATTTTTTCCTCTCGCGCAATGTGATTGGTCTGACAATGTCTTAGCCTTGGCGTGAGCGTGTTCCCCCGTGTTCGTGCCGTGTTTCGGACATTTGATTGGATGGAGAGTAAATGGAGTATTATACAGGAAAGCGATATCAAAACAACTGATTCCTGGGTTGTTTTTGATCACGCTTCTCGTGCAATGAAATTGGGCTGGCGTATGCCTTGCCTTGTCACGTCTGTGTTCGTGCCGTGATCTTTTCACACTCAAAACTGCTTCATAGTCGTACAAGATTGCGTGCATGCTTTGCGTTTTTTTAAATAGTTGCGTGATTCCGTGCATGAGTCCTCTGAATTAGTCTAGATACTTTTGACCGTAGCCTGTAGCCTGTTCTTGATCAATTGGAAGATTAATGACCAGAAGAACAGAATGTCAGCACAACGCTTAACTGCTGTCTTACATGCTGATATATCCATATCCGCACAGCATGAAATGCTATTTATTCGTGACCTTTTTTCAGTGAAAAATAGAGTCAAAGAGATTAAAGCTTAAACCTTRATTTTTTTCAGGATTACTTATAAATTTTCAGAGCGATAGCGAAGGAAGAATGGTAAGACGCACGCATTTCTATCTGTTTTTCTACCGTTTATTTTTATCAAGTTAAAGTAACGACTAATTTTGATTGTGATGCGTGTTCAGTGATTTCACTGCGCAACTGCGCAAGTCCTAGCTGAAGCGAAAATTTATTCCACTTTCTTAACGTGAGGTGCATGCTATCGAACATTTGGTCCCGAATACTGCATTTTATAGTTCCGTTCAGTGACCAAGCCAAGGTTGGAATTGCCCCTCTTTTAAAAAAGTATAGTTTTGCTATGCGCGGAAATTCCGACATCGACTTGGAGCTATTATTCTCGGTCACTGGGAACTGTAAAATCCAGTATTAGTGAACACAAGCAGTGTTCACTAGTGTCCTCCCGGCTATTTTAGAAGAATATTGCTATGTTTCACGTAATAGCGCAATATTTACGTCAGTTGCATTTATTTTTTTTCAGTTTTCTCGTACTTCATCGGGCTCCAGTGGTAAGTTGTTGGGCGATGTCCTCTACTAGTTAATGTTCTCAAGCTATAGCTAAAAAAGTCCTCTGCGAAGTTTGACTGGTTACTTTTCCAATAACTTTATCTTGTTCTAAGAAACCGCAATCATCGTGTTTGTGCGAAACCTTTACTTATATCTAATTTACTCATAACTTATATCAGAGTCCATATAAAAATCTTATCGGGACATATGTTTCTTACTAAATGATGTTACACGGGACCATTCGTAACGATGAGGATTTTTCGCGATACGACTCGTCGATTTTTAATATGTCAACTTTTCGCGCAACGCTCGTTCGAAAATCAACATGTTACACGATTTCAAAGCCGCCCCCTTGTCTGTTAACATCGCCTCGCTTCTATGAGAGTATTGAACTGCATTTTGGGTATGCGTTGCGCGAAAAATCGTTGTTGAAGCTGTTGCGGGTATAAAATTCGACATTCAGCGTTGCGAGGTCTTGAAGCTGGCTCAAAAACTTGCAACGCGTTGCCGAATCCGAAAATCGTTGTAGATGGCATATTACACGGCATCAGTTTTTCGCGCAATGGCGTATCGCGAAAATTCGTCGTTGCTAATCGCCCCGTGTAATATCAGCTTGATGCATGTGTACGTCAAACAACGTAATAGATACTATTAATGACGATGCCGCAACACGTCTTTAATATTAGTATACGTACCCTACTCTTGATCGTGTTTTTGACTAACCATTGTACGAAACTTAAACAACGTTACCTTCTACAGCCATGCACAGATAACCACAGACATACTGCATGACCGACTGACTGAATGTTAACTAAAGTTATGCCTGCCACGCGGCCCCAAAACCACTACGTGCCTGTTTTCTGCATGTTTATAACTTGTAAAAAGGTGACCAACGTTAACTCTTAAGAAATAAATAATAACAATAATAAATAATGAAGGACGATCATATATAAAAGGCGTTCTCTCCACTTTTAAAGTCGTTCCGCTGCGTATAGACCCCTTGCAGCACTTTGGAATGCAACTCAATCTGGGGGACAAAACAATAGGTTCCAATTCTCAGGATATTGGAATTCTTTTGTTTTGTCCCCCAGTTCGAGCTGCTTTGACTTCACCTGCAAGGGGTCTATAAATGCGCAAAGCCTTGGTCGAAGGTTGGGACAAGGAAACAAGCGAGAAAAGACAGATAGAAAGACAATATAGGCCATTGCAGAGAAAAACAGAGAGAAAGAGGGTGAAGGCTAGGGAGAATGCAGAACGAACCCTTGAAGAATTGATTTAGGCCCCGTCCACACACGTATCCGGAAATTTTTGTATCCGCAAATTATTTTTTTGCGGATACGAAAATGTTTGCGTCCACACGCAGCGTATTCGATTCGTTTTCACCGTCCACACGTATCCGTTTTCGTAAAATTTGCGGATACGGACACAAAAATTTGCGGACACGTGTGCACGCAAGCCGTATCCGCAAAAAAAATTTGCGGATACAAAAATTTCCGGATACGTGTGGACGGGGCCTTAAAGCAATCTTGACAAACAAGCAAAATAAAGTTCGAAGACGGCATAATTCTAATGCTTAAGCTGCTATTGTTGTTTCTTTAGGTTCTGGTATAGCGTCAGATCAGCAAACAGTCGAAATATTATCTGGAACAAAGAATATTTCTTTTCAGTAAGTGCTACCTTCAATTTAATGCTAGATACTATATACGCAAGCTGGTTCACCTCAGATTATGACATGTTATAGGGCAAAAAAAGAAGAAAAAAAAGAAAAAAAAAAGACAAGAACAAGAAATAACTTTCTCTTTTGGGACAAGAAATAAATCTTTTTTCAAGGAAAACGTATTGCATGGCTATTGCACTCCTTCATTGTACACACGCTCAAGAGAGCAGTAATTAACAAAACAATAAATTCGAATAGCACCTAATGTATAACACGGTAAGGGAAACTGGGACAGAAATATGATACCGAGGCTTATGGACCTTTGCCACACAGCAGCCATGATTATTCCAATGAGCCTGATGCGCAAATTCGTGAAATGCAGGGCTAGCCACTGACGCTCTCGAAAACCAAGATGGCTGCCGCGTGAGAAAGGCCAATCGACGCAATATCAAAAAAATGAGTGGTTCTTTTTAACCACAAATTAATGCCTCGACCAGCTCTGTTTTACATTGTTTCTAAATATATGAATGTAGATATTTATTTACATTGTTTCTAAATATATGAATGTAGATATTTATATAAAATAAGTTTATAAAGCACCACTCTTGAAGACTGTTGCACTTTAGAGGTATTTATTTTAGTTTTGCACTCTTTCAGCACTAGTGATGATGATAAAAATAGCTTTAGCTCGTCGCTCAGATCTTCACTGTGAGTAGAATATATCTGACACTTAATAACAAGGGTTTGGGGGTAGATGTGTTTATCAGTTCGTGAACATTGCCGCACCTAACTTATTCTGTACATTAGGCACCAGATTGAGTTGAAGGTTGATATCACTTTTACTCAGTCTTTGCACCAAAAGCTTTGCCCATGTTCTTCTTGTGATTAGCTGTCTAACCTTCATGTATCAAATGGTTATCAATACCCTGACCCGCCTCTGGGCTAACCAAAGTCAGGGCACGCCGAGCTAACTCACTTATTGAATTGGAATTTAGTTTACTTACGTTTTGGGAAGGGAAGAAAACCAGATAACGTGGATGAAACCTCAAATCAAGGGAAAGACCTAACAAAATGTACTCACTCACATACTCATACGATAAGTTGAATTAACATTTGCTTTCTCTTTCAGATTTAATAAACTACAATTAAACAATCACAGTTTACCTGTAAGTAACACAAAGTTACACTGGGGAAAAATAATTACGACTTTCATATGCCATAAGGATTAGAAGAAAGTGGAATATGATAGCAAAATTATGTGGCGGATTCATTATCTTGGGTGATGGGGGTTGTCTTCAATAGATCACGCTCGTTATTCCCTAGAGTCTCATTTCTTTGTTTAATAATTGCACATCAAAAGAATAATTATGGATACAACTCAAACAAAGAATCTTATTCTCAATAGAATTATACGTTTATTAATTGGGAAAATATTATGCCTAGATGGATTAGAGTGGATTACCTGTCTTCCAAGTTAAGTTCTCTAAAATGCATCCTTATAATTCATATTCCTCCCTGATATGCTTGTTCCTGATTGGCTTGTCGGAATGCTTGCGAAAATTGTCCCTTTTGAATATCTGTACATGCAGTAATAAGAGAACTGAAATATTTTTTTAGTTTTTTCATTTACTCTTTTCGTGTTGCTTTATTAGATCGATGAATATGAAAGGAAAAAGGAACTGGCTTCGATAGGTGAGTCGTTGTGGGTACTAAAAGTTATTTTATTTTTTATGAACAAGTTGTAAATACTATACGACTCCCAAAGTAGCACGAGCTTTCGAGTCGTTGGGAAACGTTTTTTTTTTTTAACTCTTATTGAATTGTTTTTCCATTAACTGTCGTTTTCCTCATCAGCGATGCAGAAGAAGGTCCAGTTCACTGAAGTTCGAGTACCAACAGACACGTGGAGTGGCCTGGGATTCTCGAAATCCATGCCAGAATCAGCCATTAAACAATTAGTAAGTAGAAACATTTCCGATTGTGAACAACGTTACTTTCCAGTTGGTTATTTATTTAAACACTCAATGGCCATTTTTTAAACATTTTTTGTTTTCTTTTAGCTTGAGTTCAAGTCGCGTAACAAAGGAAATATGTTGCCGTACAATGGACCTGTTAACGGGACATTACCCGAGGTTAGTAGAACAGAACAGGGTTACTTGGGGTAATGCCCATCGCGACGCCACAACTATTCCCCATTCAGATTTTTAAAGTTAAATTCAGTATTAGAATATAAAGAGTGCTAAGTAAAACATTTTGTCATTCTAGAACCCGTTACCGCTATCTTCCTTAGAAACCACGTCACGAGAGACGCGTAGCAACAGTACGTCTATGTATGAGGTAAAATACTAATGGCGATGAACTATCGCTATAGCAATTATTTGTCTTTATAAAATAACTGTTATGAATGTAGCGTTCTGATTGGTTTGGAGCGCGTGCTTTATGAGAGCACATTGCACACGCGCGCACTTTCCGTTGCGTCATTCCTATCTATTATTGTAACTTGTATTTTATAAAAGAAATAAAAAACTTGCTTGCTGTGCTGTGTGCAGTCATAAAGCACTTGGGGATTGGCAGAACACTCGAGAAGTGTCCAGAAGCACTCCGCTACGGGTCGTGCTTCTCTTAACACTTCTCTCGTGTTCTGCCAACCCCCGCGTGCTTTATGACAGCACACAGCACGCGCGCGCGTTTTCTATTTCTTCAAACTTGAGCACTAGATATGTTCTGCCTTGGTCAGTGAAAGATCATAATCGTCAGCATTTTTGATTTAGGGCTTTTACAAAAATCCCTCACTCGTTTCATTCAATTAGTGCGGCCATCTCTCTTTGGTCCATTGAAAGTAATTTGGTTTATTCTTTAGTACGTCAACATTGCTAATATAATTCGTTGCGGATACAATAGTCCCTTTACTTGTTACGTGCATCCTTCCCCATCATAATAAAAAGACAAAAAAACTGTGACTTATCTTTTGGTTGCTTGTCCCTGTTTCTACATATCTGATTTGGTACGTATTTTCTTCTCAGCAGACTTCTACTCAACGTGGTCAGCATTCAGGTAAGTAGTGCGGTGTACTTTGTTGTCATTGCAGAATATGTGTAAGAAAGTAATTGTAAACTAGCATTCTGATTGGATGTTCAGCGGTGTCAGTCGTCTGTCTTTAGATGATTCGAGCCAGTTCGACGTCGTTTGAGAAATTGACCGAATTGACTCCATGTTCACTTTCCAATCTTTGGCTTTTCGTGTTTTAGAAAATTCCGTGATTATGTAACGCATTTGGGCCATGTTTTGAGCAATGGTTACTGCTGCCCTAGGCAGAAAGCTGGAAAATATATTCTTATCCTAATAAGTTGTATACATCAGGAATTCTTTCTAGTGACAAATATAGCGCTACAATATCTCTTATTTAAAAATATATTATCATCCAATTAATTTTATTTAATGATAGTTTTTTTTTCAAATCAATAGATAACTTTAGCCCAACTGTTGGCGAACGAAGAAATACCTACCCATTTCCCTCACCGCCACTATCAGGTAATTTTCAAGACGCAGGCAACGGTTTTTTTGACATCGCTTTATAGCGATACTTTTGTTGTTAATTATGTGCCAACCAGAGATCGATCAAAAGCAGGAATCAGAATAACAAAACCAGCAACTCCTGGATTCGTAGCTAAGCACGCATACACTGGAGTTCTAAATTATTCGTTAATTGGAAACCAAGATAATCACGAAGTTGAAGTTATCTTTCTTTTTTCTTTAGACCTTGAAAAACTTCTTGAGAAACTAGGACTAATGAAATATTACAATATATTCCAAGAACAAGAGGTAAGATCATCACTACTATGATGCACGATAACATAACCATCAAAAATTCTCAATTTTGATTGGTCTGCTACTTGTTTTTTGTTTTTTGTTTTTTTTTTTTTGTTTGGAAATTCCTGTGCAAAAATGCGAAACCACTGCGCAAACCAAAAAACATTTTAACAAAAAACTTTTGATGGCCATTATAAAAATAAAATCACTATTGGGATCATTCAACACAAAGGGAAAAAAATGATGCTGCGCACAAGTGTATGGATATTATTCCCGGGATTGTCACTTTCTTCCTCTTTCCCACCTTGGACTTTTTTTAGGGTTTTCAAAATGTTATCTAAATTTTATACCTTTTTTACCAACCATTCATAATAGATAAACAGTATTGTTTTTCGTGTTTTTTTTTGTTTTTTTGTTTTTTTTGTTTTTTGTTTATCCTGACCTTGTGGTCATTGCTGCTTTATTTCACGACCTGTCCCGCCATCAGGAAATAATGAAAAGTTGCGGCCATYTTTACGAAATTAATGTTTTTTGGGGAAGCGCAGTCCTCGCGAAAGATCTACATTATCTCATGTACGATCTTCAAAAGGAAATTCAATAGTTTGAATCATTCAAGTACTCTCATCTGCAAGTGGTAATGACAGAGACTCAAGAATGAAATTCATTGTTTTGCTGTGTTATTCAGGTCGACTGGCAAACGTTTTTGACGCTCACCGATGATGATCTAAAAGAACTTGGAGTTACAACGTTTGGTGCTAGAAGAAAGTTGCTGTTAGCAATAGCAGGTACGTGACAACTATTTATCTAACGTTAATAAAAGGGAACCCCACTGTTAACTTTGCCTGTAAGAGCTTCTTAACGTTAACGTTTGGCTCAAAAACCTTTGTGTTAGAAACGAAAACATGAAGATAATTTTTCTGTTAAAAAAATGTAATCGGTTATTTTGTTGTTGTTGTTGTTAACATGAAATAATTGCCGGAGCAGTTTTATTTTTTATTCCCCTTCTTTTACTCAGACCTTAATAGTCATTAAGTATGACCTTTTACTTTTCAGAACTGAAGAAAAGTCCCATGGATGTATTTACAGAACTGAGTACACCTGTCAACCCACTGCCTTTTCACAGAAAACTCCCAATGGATGTTGCAAGTCACAGCGGAAGATGGTGATATCCGAGAAGAACGTTTTCATGACCAAACGACATAATTGGTAATTACAAGGATGGTGCAACAATCTTGGTGTTTAAAGCCAACATGGCTGGAATGAAATACAGCTTCAAATAGAAGTGAACTTGAAGCTTTTCGATGAACACCCTTCTGGTAAAGAATGCAGGATGACACAGATTAATGAAAGCCTTGGTCTGTGGATGGTGTTCTTTCATCCCTATTTGCCTGGAATACACATAGGTATATTTAAATACAGAATACATTTTGGGTAGTTCAATCCTACATAATTCAAGAAAACGGCACTATGATTAGCATTCAAATGTGATGACAAACATCATGAAATCCTCGCAAATGTTTACCACGCCATCATATCTCACCGACTTATAATTCCTTTGCCACAACGTCCCATATAAGACTATTCACAACCATCTACTTGTGCAACATTGTAGTGATCTGATTATTGACAGCTCGTCATCTTTTCATCGTGTCATATTCTCTGATTACCAAACGCCTATGACATGCACAACTGCATACCAAGATCATGTTGGCAAGACKTCCATTGATGTCCCATACTGGACTATATGCAACTATGCCTTCTATCATGTTTGCAACATTATTCCCTCGTTTCCAACTGTTACCCACACTTGTACAGACTGAGACCATGTTGAAAAGTCTTCAATTGATGTTCTGTACTGG